GAGGTGGATTGATTCAGTGACTGGGGTAATCGGGATGGGTGTGTCAGAGACAGTGCGATTGGCACAGGACAGAGCGGAGTTTAGGGCTGTTGTACACAGGGTCGCTATGAGTCGCAAGTGACATGACGGCACAACAACAACAACAATATTTAATGAACTCTGGCTTCACAATGGCTAAGCTTGGTGGTTCAAACCCACCCAGTGGTTCCTTGGGAGACAGGACTAACAACTGTCTCCCTTAAAGATCTGATGATGTTGTGTAGTGTTGAGTCAGAAATGACTCACAGCTGACCCCCCCCAATGGGTTTTCCGAGACAATAAATTGCATGGGAGGAGACTGCCCATCCTTCTCCTTTACAGCAGCTGGTGGATTTGAACCACATGACTTCAGGAGTGCAGTGCAGCTTCTTACCACTAGGCCATCAGCTAAGAAAACCCTATGAGGCACTTTTTACCCTGTTACATTGACTGCTATGAGTTGGACTAGATCCAGCAGTACTCAACAAGAACAACAGCTGATACACAGTCCTGTGAGTTCCTCCGGTGCTAAATCTCATCTCAGTTACATAACTTCCTTTCTTAACTCAGAAAAGGGCACAGTCCTGAGATAATGGAATTAACCACGCTTTCCATTAACCACACATGGGAGAGGGGTTCACATCCACAGCTGCTCACCTGTGCACCAAGTGTGCGAAGCTCTGAAAGCCACAAGTTTTCATATAAATGTACAAACATACTGGACAACAAAACATGGTCCAAACTAACAGGTATTAAGCTATTTGTAGTTGTTATTTATCCAGTTACCATGAACAATCATTTTTGCTTCAGAAAGAAGAATGTGCTGTCTGAAATCCTGTGGATGTTTTTTAATACACTTTACATCCTATTTAAAAAAATAAATTCTCAAAATACAGAATTCTTCCTGGCTCCACAGTTTCAGATAAACTACTGTGTGCCTGTGTTCATAAAAGAAGTTAAAGGAAATCAGGCACAAAGACTTAAGAAATAAAATCGTATCTGTAGGAGGAAGGATTTTACTTTTACAACTATTTTATCAACTATTTGAAAATTATCTCATAGCTGTCAAGTCAGAACTGAGTCACAGCTGACCCTCCACTGAATTTCCAAAGCTGTCAATCACCGAGGAGGAGAATGCCCGACTTTCTCCCTCTCAGCTGCTAGAGGGTTCAAACCATCAGAGAGGCATGAGGCATGGTCTCTGGGTTAGCTTCGCAACTCTCTATGCACTGCGCCACCAGAGCTTCCTTTAGCTGTTTTGGGTATTTTTTTCTTTCTAGTCTTGGTTTCTACATATACTTAAGTTAGATTAGTTAATGTAGAAAAGAAGTGCTCATTCTATTCAGTTAATACATTTTATGTCATTAAAATGGCTGTTGTACATAAGCTGTTACCAATGACAGAGAATTATCACTCATCTGCAACAAGTTAAGGCTTGTCCCAGCCCGACAGGTCACAAGCCACAAGACTAAGTAAGCATGAGGGACAGATGCAGAAAGAATGAGCTTACGGAGGTAAGTGGAGATGCTGTCTTGAGTGACACACACCGTGTTCTCAGTTGAACGAAGATGGTATTCTTTACACATGATACTTAGTAGGACAAAGAAACAAGCAAGCAAAAAAAAAAACCTCACCAAAAACTCAAAATTCTACTCACTCAGATATTGTAAAAAAGTCCATAAGTTCAGATGTTGAAGCCTTGTTCCAATACGTAAATAAAGCATCTAGAAAATAAACATGTGATCAGAATTGTGACGTACAGTATGAACCTTATGGAGAAACACGTTTAAGTACAGTGTGAAGAGAGAGATGATCAAAGGACAAGCCATAGATATTAATCTAAAATGGAAAAAACACACACGTTCATTCACCTTAAATACTCTACATTTCACTTTTAATTTTATTACATTATCATCTAGTACTATATGATACAAGGCATACGTAACCTATATAGAAGAGTCCTTCCTCTGAATTTTAATTCATTTTGCTGTTGAGAGTAAACACAGAAAAATATACACCAACATTTCTCCCTGCACAATTCAGTAACAGTGATTGAGTGCACCCTTTGGGTTGTACAAGCTTCTTAACTCCCTGACCCTGAGTTGTTCTGTCTCATTAACATAAGCTCACTACCCCCTTTTTCCACCTATAGGTTTTCTGTCCAATATTTGGATTTGCTATGATCAATTTGGTCCCACATAAACACTTCTTAAAATTCACCTAATGAAAAACTTTTACTAGTTAAAACAACTGTTGAGTTTCAAGAAGATGAGAGGGGATATTTTAGGTTTAAGGTGAAATGATTATCTCAGAGCAATAATTTTAGGGGTTTATCTGTCTGCCATTCAGAAAGTTAAAAGTTCATGCGAATGTGAAATTCCGTTCAACATTCCTCTCCTTTTGGTCATGATTCGTCTATGTTTAAAAGCCGAAACGCAGTGTGTGGATCAAGCAGCAGTCTGTTGCTATTGATTATTGTCAAGTCAATTCTGACACACAGCAATCTCATGTGTGCAGAAGAGAACTGTTATACAGGATTTTCAAATCTGTAGGCTTTTTGGAGCATAAGGCCAAGTATGTCTCCTGGGTGGGCTTGAACCACTGACACATGTCAGATACTAGGCTCCAGGTCTACTTCCCTCTGCTCCTCTAGGTATGCACACTGGAGACGGAGCCACTGCTGACTGAGGATAGAGATGGCGTACCCTCATTGTATGCTCTTAGTCTTAACCCAGTCCTCCTCCGCTAACTCCCACTGCCTGCTTGTGAATCCATTCTTGAGTCTTCAATACTCCTAACACCTGGCCCCATAATCTGGAATGATTACTACTGCTCAAGATTTTAAACTCCTGGAAGAGTATTTCTTTTTTTTAATTTTTATTATTTTTGTGTGAGTGTGCCGTCAAATCAGATCTGACTGGTACAGGAGGAGATTGACCCTCCTTCCCTGGCAGAGCATCTGGTGGATTCGAACCGTGCGCCTCTGTGATTGTAGTTGCAGCTCCTTACCACTAGGCCACCAGAGCTCCCCCTGGAAGAGTATTTCCAAAGCTGGTAACATGGTCTAGAAAAATAGCTCCATAAAAACAGAAGAAAGAATTCATTTGAGTCACTCCTTCACTACACAGGAGATACATGCTTTGGAAGGGTAAAGAACTCAACTTTACAACTTCCATTTTGTGCTTTTATTATATATGAAGCACAGTGCTAAATATTCCATATTTATCATTCAATCCTTAACTTTTTTTATTATTAATTTTAATAGACATTTTACAGAGCTTTTGGATTTCTATTCATTCATTGCCGCACTTTTCTCCCTGCCCACCTCTCCCCACCAGTTTGCTCCCCTCTCCAAAAAGAAAAAGAAAAAAAAATTTCCTTCAGTACTATAATTAGTATAATTGTCATATCTCAAAAGTTAAGGATTGATTGAATGGTATACTAATCAATCCTTAACTTTTGAGATATGACAATGATTTGATTTACAGCTAAGAAGGCAGAAGCTGAGATACTGAGTTAAACTGTCCAAGGTCACATAGCAAATAAAAGGCAGAGCTGGGGTTCTAAATTACACTTGACTTTTAAAATCCATTATGCTATCTCTCCACCACCTGTCAGCTGGTGTGACACACAACAGTGGAGTCACTAACATTCTGGGTAGCAGTGAGTATTTAGCTGTCTGCACCACTCAAGGGCTCCAGTGTTTCAAGATTAAAAAAAAAAAAGTCAAGTCCATTGTCATCAGGTCCATTTCAATTAATGATGACCCTCAATTGAGCTTCCAAGGCTATAAATCTTTATAGGAGAGAATGCCTCCTCTTTCTTCGATGGAGCTGCTGGTAGATTTGAACCACCAACCTCTCAGAAGCCCAGCATGCAGCCCAGAGCTCCTAACCCATCAGCAGCTGTGGTGATTTCCATTAAAAATGTAGTTGTCAAACCCTAAATCACAAACTGGGAGCCCTAGGTGCCCTGTCCATGGGGAGTTGTGCTGCTAACCCAATCTGGTGCCCCCTGGTGGTTCAAATCCACCACTGGCTTCCTGGGAGCCGGATGGACAATCTCTTTTCATGCCATTTACAGCCTTTGAAGACGTGTCAGTTATGAGTCAGCTCCGAAAGAAGTGATTTTCACTTTTAGGGTCAGAAACAACCTACTTTGATATCCCTATTTTGATTATTGTCACTTAGACGCTGTGGAGTTGGTTCTGACTCAGGGATCCTCCACACAGCGGCATGAAACACTGACCGACGCTCAGCCATGCACAGAACCACTGCTGTCTAAGTCCATTGCTGCGGCCAGTGTAGCAACCCAGCTCATCGAGGGGCTTCCTTTTTTTAGCTGATCCTCTGGTTTTTCTAATAGAAAAGTGCAAGTAATATGCTTTCTTTCTGGGCAAAGGTAGGAATGTCATACACAGTCTTAGTGGAAGGAATGCGTATGTCCCCGAACAATGTATTTTTTTACTACAGGAGACTGACTAATACAGTTAAGCTCGCTGCCTGTGAGTAGGAGTTTGTGTGGACAAATGAAAAGCTATTTCCATTATCTGGTTCAGTCTCCTTTAGCTAACATGGAAGGTGTAAGTTTCACATAAATTTTAAAAATATTTTAGAATGATTTTATGGAAGAAAGGAATGAACACGAATGTTTCCCTTCAACTGAAAGCTTTTATTTCAACTGCGGCTGTCAGCTGTCCACTGCCTGTCAAGCTGCCTCTGACTCATAGGGAGTCCATGAACATGGGATACAACTATTGAGTTCACGGACTGATTTTTCAGTATTTTATCCCCAGGTTTTTGTTTGAAATCTCTTTAGCATTATAGATAGCAACACACAAACTTCTACAGGGAAATGGGTTGGGAATACAATAAGGCCCCCTGGGAATGGAGCCTGGATCATGTGTGGAGCATGAGAATTCTACCCCTGCACTGAAGCCCTCTCAATTTGCATTTACTAAATTGTTGGTAGGTGCTGGTGTGTTGACCACCAGTCATAATGACCCTATGAACAAGAGATCTGAACTTGACCCTGTCCTGCACTGTCCTCTTGATCGCCTTCATGTTTAAGTCCATTGTTACACTGGGTCCACCTCGTTTAGGGTCTTCCTCTCTTTCTCTGACCCTCCACCTTTCCGAGAATGATGTTCTTCTCCAAAACTGGCCCCTCCTGACGATATGCCCAAAGCATGTGATAGGACGTTTCACAATCCCTTCCTCTAAGGAGCAAGGTGGCTGCACTTACATCATGCATTTAAAAACCAACATCAAAAAGGAAAACATTATGTTAAGTCCTTGTATACCTTAACAAATTACAACTAAAAAAAAATCTCCAAATAAGAACAGTGCAATGAAAATCTTCATCTTCACCTACCATCAGACATGCTTTTCAAGATGTAGAGGAAACACATCAGCAGGCTCTTTATTTCAGATTGGTCAAGTTTGTCACATCGAACCACAGAGTTTCCCAGAGTGCCACCTGGCTGGTGCTGAAAAGGAAGCGGAATTGATTTGTCTCTTCAAGAACAAAGGGGTAAAAATAGGTTTGATTGAAAAAAAGTCTTAGGATTGAGTTAAATCCTACAACTTGGAAAGTATAAGCTATTTATTAGCAACCAAACGACACACCTTCACCCAAATATACACACATGTTCCACAGACACTCTGGCTTGTCTTCTCTGCAAACTTCCCTGAAGAACAAGCCAGGAGGTCACAAACCTTTCAAACTGGAGAATCGCATTTTAGGTTATCAGCTTAGTTCTGAAATGCCAAGAAAGCACATGCAAAACTATATGTGTATTAGGAAATGATGATCTGGAAGACGCTACAGAATGAATCGTAAACTCAGGGAAAACTTGAGTGGCTGCAACAGCAAATCCAACCACAGTGGCTGGGAGGTGAGTCACTGACAATCAGTGCATGCCATGGGGTACAAGAGGGCAAAACCAACCAGCAGGTGTGGCAGAGGTACACACAGGGGCACCTGAGCACGGCACTGCCGAAGCCCCTAAGCGGATGAGGCCACGCCACCATCGGCTTAGGTCAACACTGCAAACTTCAGAACGTGTAGAAGGGAGAGGAGTTTTGCCGCTAAGGAGCAGGCCCACGGGCTTAAAGAGATCATTTTACAAAACTCAAAGGAGATTTCATGTAAGAAAATACTTGGGATTTTAAAAATTCTCTGTTATATTTCCAATTGAAGTCAAGAACTTTGTTGACGGAACTCAAAGATCAGTGGGAAAAAAGGAGGCCTTATTCAAGGTGGGCCATTGGGGGGAAAAAACCCCTCTTCAGAAAATAGGCTTAACCATATGCATGGCTGCTCGCAATTAAGGGAGAAATGCCGGTGAGGTTAGCGGCAAAACTGGCGTGGGCGCATTATGTCGCCCTCCCGGTGAACTGGAACTGCTAGGGGAACGCAGTACTTCCTGCAGTGGGAGGGGAGGTGCTGCGTGCAAAGTTTCTTCTGGCAAAGATGGAATCATTAGGAGGGAAAAATCCACAGTGACCCGGTTTTTCCTGGCTGCTGGGCAGCAGTCCTCGTCCTCCCCAGGGCTGCGTAGGACACAAGCCGAGTGCCTCCGGAGTAGCTTTTCCCTCTGCCACGCGGAGGCATGATAGGGTCAAGGGAGAAGGTAATCAGACCGTGACACACCTGCCAGCAAGCGCCTGCCTCTCCAGATGTGCAACGAGCCTGTGCCAGCCACAGCGATTCAAGACTACAAACCCGGCTCGCAGGAAAGATGCTATCCACGCTGCTGAGAACTAGGAATGCACCCCTGGATGGCTCACCTGTCCACAGGGGAGCCTGGGAAAGTCTGTGTGCTTACATGTCACTTGAACATCCTAAGAAAACAGTGCCCAAGATGACAGCAATCTATCATGGGTTCAAGGTGGAAGCCCAAATTCTTACCATTTCCCACAAAGTTCTAAATAGTCTGAGCTTTAGTTCCAAATACTCTGAGCTTTAGTTATTCAACAAGAGAGGCTGGGTATGAAGGGGGAGGTGTTGCAGAGAGGAACATATGAATATATCAATTTCAAATCAAACTTTGACCTTGAATCACCTACAGGATCACTTTCTCTGATGGAGTTTCTTTCCACTTAATAATCATTTGCCAAAGCACTATGGTAGAAATGGTGTTCCCCTGGTACAAAGATTATGATGGTTCTAAATGAGCGAAACACTTTTTCTCTACCTGTTCAACCTATCAAAGCCATTCCCTCAAGATGCTCCCCAGTCAACTCAGAAATCCTGGAAACAGGAATTAGGGAGATTCAGGAAATGGAGCCCAGCTTTAGATATATTTCTCATCATCTAAAGCCATCGTCATCAAAGTGGATATCAGACTCACAGTGACCTAGCAGGTCAGAGTAGGACTTCTCCACTGGTTTTCCAAGGCTGTATCGTCTATAGAAGCAGATTATCACATCTCTCTCCTGTGGAGCTGTAGGTGGGTTCAAACCCCCAACCTTTCAGTGAGCAGCCCAGTGCTTAAACCAACACACTATTGGGGTTCCTTTCTAACCGTCTAGTTTAACTAGGTTGGATTTTGGTTTTTTAAAAAAATATGTTCCCACTCAACAAACATTAGAATATATGTAGCTGGAGTTAAGTCAATTTCGTTCAAGAGCTCTCTGGAGTTATTTGAAAAGAAATTACCTTATCCAAGGAATTGCTTTTCTCGCTGTTTCTCTCTGGAAGGCTGTTTCCAGAATCCGTGCTTATGAGAGATCCTCTTGAATCAGCATTTCTCACACTATTAATATTTGGAGTCGAAGTCGTATATGGAGAAGCTAAACGGGAAATCAAGGCAAGAACACAATTTGGAAAGACAGCACAATACAAAGCTCAGAGGGCACCTTCTCTTAGGAAGACTGTGCAATTCAAGCCCCTCACCTTTAAAGGCCACAATGAGATAAAAAATTTTTCTCTGAAATATTAAGATATAAATATCAATTAATTTATTAGTAACCTTATCTTGCTAAGTATAAAGGGTCAGATAATGGTTCAGAATGAAGATTTAGAAAGCAAAACAGATAAAGCTACCCTAAGCAACAGAATAAAAAAAAAGTAACCCATTCAATAAACCCACAGGATTCAAATTATACTGTGGTTTCCTTATAAACTCAGGAGATGCCTGGGCATATTTTACAATTTCAAGGAAAATACAGAGACATTTGGCATCGGTAGACACTGCAGTTTCAACATGAAAGCTTGTACATTCCTTTAGATGATGTCAGGTTTTTGTGAAGTTGGGGATTTGGTGGTTGCTATGACGAAAAGCAAATATTAGAAGAAATCAATGTGGAACAGAAAATGAGGGTGGTGTCCAATCTTATGCCAAACTTTGAGAAGTTGTACAGTGTCCCGCAGGCATATGAATCAAATAAGTAAAAAAATAAAAATAAAAAAAATCTGTAATTACTTAAGATTGACGTAGATATTTTTACATTAATGTACAATTCTTTTTTCAAATGGCTACTAAGCCAATGGTATTACTATCCTATTGCCCAAAACCGCTGCCTTTGAGTCAATTCCAACGAGTAGATCTGTTGTTCAAGGGTTGCTATGAGTTGTACTCAACTTGATGGCATTTAATAAGAACAAAGTCCATAAAAAGCAGAGGAAAAATGCTTCACAGGGTTTCCAAAACTGTAACTCTTTACAGAAGCACACTGCCACCTCTTTAACCCTAGGAAAGACTGAGGTTGGAACAACTGACCTTTTGATTAGTGATGAGTTCTTTAACCACTGTTACTAGGGTTTGAACTGTGTACATACTTTAAGGAAGTTATCTGGGCCTACCTATATAATAAATATTGGGCTGTGAATTTTTACGTTTTTATCAAGTGGCATCCAATTCCTAAACCACATGCCTATGGAAACTGGACAAATTTGGAGAAACTACGATATTTAAAGAATGGCATTAAGTCTTTTGTTCATAGAGTTGCTGTGAGTCGTGCTCAACTTGAAGGCAATCAATAACAACATTATCTATTACCTTTAGATCTGACCACAAGGCCAGGTGGGAATGTGTAAGTAAAATGAATCTTTGAGGCTCCATCCACCACCCCAGGGAGCATGAGGCTTCAACTGTGAACACATGGTTTGCTGTTGATTGATTAGTATCGTTTAAATCATCAACAGCTGTGAAGCCAATATAAATGAGGGAGAGCTATCCAGAGTGTAGAAGATTTGGGGAAGACATAGCCTGATGGAGCGCTGGAGACAGAGCCAGAGTTAAAGGTTTGCTTGCAGAGGGACTGAAGGGAAGAGCTGACTTTTGACTGCTTTGAAACAAAGCTTGCTGGATGACTGAGGAAACCAGAGATTTCTTGCATGTGTGTTGTTAAACTAACTTAAACTTTCACTTGTTGACTGAGAAGCTGTCTAAACTAACAGACCAACTGTGTCTTGCTGTTAACCTGCACTCTCACTGCATGATATCCTTTGCTCTCCCACCCCCCAACCAATTTAGAAAATAAACTCCATAACTGTGAGTAAAAAAAAAGATATTCTTTGAAGTCTATTTGTCATTTTCAAGGAATTTCTGACCGTGATCAGTAGAAGTAGGTGTGGCAAAGTGGGAAGTCATGACTGATCTTATAGGGATCAGTTTTATATTGTAGATGTTGTTGTTAATGAGGACAGTTCCCCTTTGTGAAGTTAGAAGAGGTAAGACTGGGTCTTCTCTACACTGTTCTTGCTAATTTTAAAGGCTGCTAACCAAATGATTAGAGGTTCAAATCCACCAGGAGTTCCAAGAAAGAAAGAAAAAAGTGCACTCTTCTATAATAAAGAATTCTAGCCTTGGAAACCCAAAAAAGGGTCTCTAAGAGTTGGAATAAACTCCTCAGCAATGAGATTGGTGTTTGGATCTAATAAAGAGGACTGTTATCTGTTTCTTTGTTCTGGGACCCATGAATAAATGACTGTGATGATTAATGGTATTACAAACTGGAAATGCTCAGGAACTTCTGCAAGAAATAGTTAAGAGCAGAAAGGAAATCTAACTTGGAAATAAAATTTGTGGCACTCATGAAAAAGCAGCATTTGGAAGCAGAAAGCAACTCCACCTCAATACTATTTAATGTTTTAAGGTTATAGATTGACAGACCTGATAAGATAAGACTTAAGTAAAAGCACATAATTAAACATGCTCTTTTAGACTTGTACATCCTGTGTTGGGCCAAAAGGCACGCCTGCAGCTGAATGACCAGGCTGGCTTCGCACGCTGCCTGGGAAGCTTGGGCTCTGTGAGAGAGTGGTGAGTGCAGCCTTCCATTCCAACCCGAGGACACGGTCACCAGGCCTCTCAGAACAGGCTGCTCCTTTTCAGATTCCAGTAGGCAAAGCAGCTGCCATGAACTGAGACACTGCATTTCAACCTTCTAATGTTAAAAAAAAAATATATTATTAGTGCTCGCTTCAGCAGCACATATACTAAAATTGGAACGATACAGAGAAGATTAGCATGGCCCCTGCGCAAGGATGACACGCAAATTCGTGAAGCGTTCCATATTTTCGACCCTGAAATGAACCAGTCTGTAACGAAGGCTAACTCCTAACTCCTTTCACCTACAAATTTCATCTTTGGATACAAAGCTAAGTGGATAGTCCTTACAGAGGGACTGTTTAAAAAGAGGCATGGAGAAGAAAAGAAAAAAAAAAAGTATTATTAGACGGCTAGCTACTGGGTTACAAAAAAAGTGTCTTTAAAAATCACTTGGTTGGTGCATTCTTTTATTTGATGGATAACAGCATAAAGCCATCATTTCTCAGGCAATGTTAGGAGGTCTTTAAACTCAGAGGAAGCCTTGACACCCCACTGTAGTAAGCCCTTCCCCTGACCTAGCAACTCAGAAGTCATGGTGTCACAATGGAGTAAGTGGCGGGCTGCTAAATGGAAAGCTGGTGGTCTGAACCTACCAGCGTCTTCAAGGGAGGAAAATGAAGCAGATTTACAACCTTTGAAACCCTATGTGCAGTTCTACTGTGTCCTACAGAACTGTTGTAAGTCAAAACAGCTACCTCGGACTCACATTTAACTATCACCATCCCTGAAACGGATTCAGTGAATAGGACTAAATACAAGATCAAGAAACGAAGAACTGGGAGAATGTGAAAACCTAGGTGAAGACTGGAACATGAAAAACCAGTGAGCCTAGCTTCAACCATGGTCTGTGTTCAGCAAGACAGACGCCATGTGACCAACTGCCTCAAAGGAGTGGGTGACCCTATGAAAAGAGTCATGAATAATTCCTCTTCAAAACTCAGAAAAGAAACACATTGTGACTAAATTACAGTTACAACCCTCTTAATAGAACCATAAATTCACATTTAATATTAAACAGAGAACTCAGGAGAAACGGGGTCTCAGGAGAGTCAAACAAGACTCTAAATTCTAGGAGTTTTAGGCTTGATTCCAGAACTGGAGTCCTATCTAAGGCAACAGATGGAAATGCAGTAAATCAGAACCAGCGTGCTCGGCAGAACTTTGCTGCTCCGTGTGTGTGTGTGTGTGTGTGTTGAATATCCTGGCTCAGTACACGACTTCAAAAAAACCTTAGATCACATGTAAGCAAACTGAAGTGGTGTTTTGGTAGTGCAACAGTTCAACAATGAGCTGTTAATCAAATGGTCAGTGGTTGGAACCCACCCAGAAGCTCCATGGGAGAAAAGACCTGGTGAGAACAAAACATAAAATGACAATAATGGGTAGATTTACTAGTCTGACAGAGACTGGTGGAGCCCCCAAAGATGAGGGTCCTCAGCTGCCCTCCAAATGTGAAACTAAACTCACCCATGACACAACTTGCAGTTAAATGATATTGTTAAGTGCCAAACAGGATTCACAGTGACACTATGAACAAAAGACCTGAACCCTGTCCCATCCTGTGCCATCCTCATCATCTCTGACACATATGCGCCCATAGCTACAGTCACTGTGCCAATCCATCTTGATGAGGGTCCTCCTGTCTTTTGCTGACCCCCTTTCCAATCACGATGTCCCTTTCCAAGAAACAGCCTTTCCTAGGAGCATGTCTAGAGTATGTGAGGAACTTAGCCACCTTTGCTTTCAAGGAGCACTCAGGCTGCACCTTCTCCAAGACCTATCTGTTCTCCTGGCAGTCCATGGAATATTCAATACTCTAACACCACAACTCAAAGGCATTGATTCTTCTTCTGCCATCCTTCCTCACAGTCCAGCTCTCAGCAGCATAGCGAATAACTGAAGAGATCATGGCCTAAATCAGGTGCACCTTAGTCTTCAAAATGACATGATTGCTCATTAGTCATTTGGAGAGGTAGCTGACAGTGGACTTGCCTGATGCAGTATGTCTCCTGATCTCCTGTCTGCTAGCACCAAAGGTGTTGACTGTGGATCTAACTAATATTCAAGTTTAAAAAAGAAACAATAGCTGGTAAGAATTTATTCTTACTATGTACAGAAACAGCATTTCTTGTACATAGAGAGGAAGGAGAAAGACTGCTCTTTGAGGAGAGACACAGGGGCTCAGGTTAACCATGACGCTCCTGAGGAAGGCAGTTACTGGTGACGCCACCAGGAGGCCTCGAGAATCCAGTCCCAGCAAGAAGCTTCCCTGGAAGGCAGTCGTAAAGGGGAACATGCAGCCGCATCTGTAATTTTACTTTTTTGTTTGTTTGTTTGTTTGTTTTTGTAATTTTACTTATTTTTTGTTTCTTTATAATTTTATTTTTTGCTTTTGTTGTTGAGAATATGCATCTAACAGTCAACAGATACCAATTCAATGCAAATTTTATCTTTTTAAAGACGGGGGAGCTGGATATAAAAACCTGAATATAAATAAACCTTCAGTGAGAAAAATTTTTTAAATAGTCAATTTGAATCTTGAAATCAGAGTAAAAAAGGGGGATAATTAACCCCAGCACTTTTAATTATCACAAAATCAGAGCAACCAATGACCACGTGTAATGGTCAGACTCTGCTGAGGACACCTGACAGCTTGTTTCTAAATTCCCAAGGAATCCCAAATCCTAACAAGGTGAATTCAGGAGCAGATGAGTGAAAACACTCTCATTCTAGTTTGATTATCTGCAGTCTTGAAAGAATGCTTGTTGTGTGATATAATTTCCTATAGAATGCTGACCAGTGAGAATAGAGGATTCTAAGGGGTCCTAGGTTCCTGGACTCTTCCGAATGGTTGCAGTGTATCAGTACGCCAGAGACCTATGTCCGTTATAGTCCACTGCCATCAAGTGGATTCCAATGCACAGCAACCCTCCATTGGGTTTATGAGGCTGTCATTCTCGAGATTCTCATGTTACGGTCAGAGAGTGCTTATCTTTCTCCCAAAGATCTACTAGTGGTCTTGAACTCCTAACCTAGTGGTTGGCAGCATAAGCCTTAATGCCACCAGGGCACCATCAGAGCTCTTTGTTATAATGGTCATCAAATATTACTACTTAGTATTTGAAAAGGTAGGCCTGGTGTTATTGTATGTATGGAATTGTGATGCTAATCTGAGCCTCTCTGGCTACTCGAATCTACTAGGAAGAAAGAAAAGTAATCTCCTTTCATCTGATTCCCAGCCTCTTTCTCCCAGAGGTGGTTCAGCTATGAGTTGGTTCCAACTCAATAGCCAGGAGTTGGCTGGCTGGTTGGAATGTCTGAGAATGTGGTACATAAATACAGTGCCATCCTACTTAGCCAGAGAGAGAAATAATGGTCTCAAACATGCTACAACACAGGTGAACCTGGAAAACATGCTGAGTGAAAGAAGTCTGCCTCAAAGGGACAAATGTCCTATGAACCCACTAACATTAAATACCCACAACAGGCACCTTCACAGAGGTCAGTTTAATAGCGTTTACCAGACACAAGAGAGGGTGAGAATGCGAGGAATTATTATTTAGGGACTATTAGGTTTCTTTGTTTCTAGGGATGAAAATTTGGCAAATGACACTGGAGATTGTTGCACAATGATGTAACTGGTAACACGCAACTGTTTATGTGAAATTACTGAAACAGTAAATGTCGTGTAACCTACATTTTCACAACAACAACAAAAAGGCTTACAGTTTGCCAGGCCAAACATCATACACATCACAGTCAAGTCTTTCTCTCTCAGAATGACACCATCACTGTTTTCATGATGTGAACACAGATATGGGAGAAAACGAAACACTTTACCCAAGGCAATCAGTGAACAGGGGAGTGTGTTCACAGCCACACTGTGTGACTTGAAAGCCAGTGCCCTAAAATGCTGCCTACAAAACCCTTTGAGGGTGAGTCCTCTTGCTCCCAAAGTGGCAGGAGCACATGAGGCAGGGCAAGGCAATGAGGGGAGAGTGGAGATCACGGGGGAGACGTAGACAGACAGCTGTGACAGCAGCAAGCATTTACTGAGTGTTTACCACATGCCCTGTTCTCCTCCAAGAATGAGAGCCTCTGAAAACTCGCTGGAGGGTCAGCTATGGGTCAGGTCTGACTTGATGGTACACAACAACCACAACAATCTTTACAGAAGCCAAAAGAGACAGGGGTAATCAGGAAAGTATACAAAGAGATACAAAAGACGAAGGATTGATCTGGTAGCGTCAGTTGCACTGTTAGTATGAGGTTTCCGACTTCATATTCTCACCAATTTAATCACCTGGACTAAATGGCAAGCTACCACTGCCATGAAAGATAAGGTCCTAAATGCGAAGTGAAGTCCTCAGAGTGAACGGATTGTGTGGATTGCCCTTCAATCTGCTCCATGAATCGGTCCCATTATTGGGACCTCTAATCTCTATGCCTAGTTGCTGGGGACGGGGGGTAATGGTGTTGGTTATTGTTGTTAGGTGCCACTGAGTCAAGTACGACTCATAACGACCCTATGAACAACTGATCTGAACTCAGTCCTATCCTGGGCCCTGCTCACAATCTCTGACACACTCAGGACCACTGCAGCAGTCACTGTGTCAATTCAGCTGGTTGAGGGGCTTCCTCTCTACCATCCCTCCACCTTTTCCAGTGTTGGATGTCAGGTAGTGACATGTCACTTTAACTCCAGCCCCTCCAAGCAACAGCGTAGGATTTTCTAGGCTGCGGTCTTCATGAGAACAGATCAGCAGACCTTTCTTCTACAGAGCCACCAAGTGGTTCTGAACTTCTAACCTTTAAGATAGCAGAGGAGCCTTGAAGTGTTGTGTTAGCAGTGGTCCGTCCTTCCTTCCTTCCCTCCCTCCTTCCTTTTAAACAGTGGTCCTTTCTAAGATACTTCACCAAAGTTCAGTAAAAGTAGGATAAGAAATAAAAATATGAGATGCCTAAAAACATTTATGATGATTCTGTGAAGATATTTTTCGATACCCTGTCTTTACAAAGAGCTGGCACAGAGTCTCAATTAGTCAGAATAAATAGATTTCTGAGACATTTTCCATGGAGAAACCACTCAGTTTCAATTATATTTATGCCATCTGGTTTGTTCCCTAAGGGGAAGCTCTTACATTATTTCCTACTGAAAAAAAATGTTTCCAGAAAGGAGAATTTTTAAAACCTAACTTAAAGATTGGCCTACCACAGAGAAATCCTCTCCTCTCTTCCAGGCCCATCTTCCCAATTTACCTGCAAAGGCATTCCTTTCCTGAACGCACAATCCCATGCGAAGATTTAAATGATAAGCTAATTTAGTAAGACTTAAATAAAATTCAAAGTGCATAACTAAGCCATTAAATTCATAGTGTTTGGTGTTTACGGATAACCTCTGTTAGCGTCAGGAACTGTGGTGGTGCTGTGCTTAAGTGTCAGCTGCTAACTAAAAGGTTGGTGGTTCGAACCTACTCTATGGGGGAAAAAGGGGAGACATTCTATGTCTGCAAAGGCTTGTTGTTGTTGTGAGGTGCCATCGAATTGGCTATGACTCATAGTCACCCTATGAACACCAGATAGAAACCTCGTGCTGTCCTGTGCCATCCTCACAATCTCTGAACCCTCTGAGCCCACTGCCCCAGTGACAGTGTCATCCATCTGGGGGAGAGTTTTTCTCTCTTTTGCCGACCCTCCACCTTCCCAAGCGTGATGCCCCTTTCCAATGAACAGTCCTAGCGATATGGCCAAAGTATGTGAGGCCAAGTTTAATCATTCTTGCCTACAAGGAGCACTCTGGCAGCACCTTCTCTGAGACATATCTTTTTGTTCTTTTCGTCCACGGAATATTCAAGACTCTTTTCCAACACCATAGTTCAAAGGCATCATTTTTTCTGTCGTCCTTAGTCACTATCAAGCTGGTCTCTATGAAGAAGAATGTGGCATCAGGATTGGAGGATGACTCATCGATAACATTCATTATGCTGATGATACAATCCTGAGGGGGACTTGAAAGAGTTTGCTGCAGAAGATCAAAGACGACAGTCTCCAAAACAGACTGCATCTGAACGTCAAGAAAACAAAAATTCTCACCTCTGGCCCCACAGGCAACCTCATGAGAGATGAAGAAGTTTTGATCTAAACTGTCAATGACTTTATCTTCCGTGGATCTGCAGTCAATACTAAAAAGGCTTACCGTCTTGGAAACTGTGGGAAGCTGTACTCTACCCTACAGGGTGGAATCAACCCAATGGTGGTGTGTTGTTTTAGATTAGACTGAAGGGTTTCTGTCAATTTTCAAGCATCATGGAAAAGAAAAAAGAGCAGCAGAGACTCAGGCATCAAAATACTGATTTACAAGTTTGGCGAAGACTTGACTACAGACACTTTCAGAGTTAACCCAGGAAGAGCAGATCAGAGTAGTTACCGATGCCGGAGATGGCCCCAAAAAGGTCTTTGTGCAGGTTGTTCTCCAGCGTGTTGACCGACTTCTGTGGTGTCACCAATGTGTTCACAGCTGGCAAATTAAGTGATTCATCCTTGACCGTCTGTACAGGGGAGAAAGGAAGAAGCAATCAAAGATGAGTCAGCAAGATCCTCCAACCATCGCTGGAAACGTGAAGACAAGTACGAACACAAGAGAACCATCTGACAGGTGAGTGGGAGCAGGAGACACAGGGCAGGAAGCCGGAGGACACAGAGCAGGGGGCACCTTCTTCCAGGGAGCAACTGTTCCTCCCTTCCCAGAAGTCCCGGCATCTTTTCCTATTAGAACCTCGATCATGGAAAAAGTATTCGGTAATAACATATCAGATAAGGGACTTATATCCAGAATTTATGAAATACTTGAGCACCACAACAAGATAAAGGTAAATAAT